TAGTTTTTTCCTTGTAAAATAATAAATGTTTTACAATTTATTGAAAAAATTGTCAATTTTTCATTTTTTTTCTTTCTTTAAATGTCTTTTGTTTATCGACAAGGGGAAAAAAATATTGTTTCCAATAACTGCAGCTTATATAAATATATATATTATATAATTATTTTTAAAAATAATACAATGTTTTTTATTCTTGACATGTTTCGTAAAATTTATTTACATTTTCAAAAGATTATTTTACAATAATAAAACTCTGAAATAAATTAAAGTTAAAAAATAGAAGTCTTTACAGAAAAATAATAACAAACAAAAATTTAAATTATAAACCAAAATATTTATTACAAAATAACTAACTCTAAAAAAAGAAAAATATATAAATAATAATAAACTGACAGTAAAATTAAATAGTTAAGTTTATTAGCATAATGTGAAGTTTGTTTATGATTTGAGGGACTTTCCCCATTTAATGTGGAGGACTTTTTTTATCTGTAATATGTGTTTTGTTGGGGCATCATCCAAAATCTCAAAAGAATCACAGTTAGCCAGATTTCTGAAATTAATAGATAAATTTAAGTGTTTAAATATATGAGATTGTTTATCACTTTTAAGGTGCTCATTTATTCTAGTTGCCAAATGTCTGGAAGAGACCTCCAGATGTTTGGCAGACATTTTTTCAGAGTTTTATTATTGTAAAATAATCTTTTAAAAAATGTAAACAAATTTTACAAAGATATTAGAAAGTAACCAGGGCCTTGGCCCCAGCTAAAAATGAGACTTTTTGCAAACCTGGCCCTACCAAAATTATAAGATTTAGCATGGGTTGATAGCGGGGGCTAGAAAAAAATTTATAAGACTTAATATATTATAATTTTATGCTTGCATTTACTATTTAATAAATACTGGCATACTTTTATATATTTTAAAATCTAACTTACTTCCAACAAGATTGCAAGCAACCACTATTAAGTAATGAGTTACTTTCAAATAAAGAACCGGTTTAACTACTAGGAAACCTATTACTAAAAATTAATTAATATTAGTAAATATTAATAAAAAGTTGTAAGATGTATAAAAAAGGAAAATATGAAGCTTTGTAACAGTTATAAGATTTTTTTGATGTTCAAGGAAAAAAATTGAATTATTTATCATGCTGTAAAAAGATTTTATAGCATGAAGGGACAAATGCAGTTAAAAGATGCAACTTGTTGAATAAATGGCCAGTTGAGAATGAGTTTTGGTTTATCGTTATAGAGATAATACTATTATAGAGATAATACTATATAAGCTTATAGAGATAATACTATATAGTTATAGAGATAATACTATATAAGATAATAATAGAGATATTAGAGAAAATGCAACCTTATAAAAATGCGAGAGTGGCCCAACCTTGGCAGATAAAGCTGATCTTGTTACATTTACAATGTGATTTTAGACTTTGTCTGAGAGTAAGAGGGTTGTTACTTGTCAATATAGGAATGACAACAATATTGTAATATTTTTTTGCAGTTGATAAATGAGTTTGGTTGTCTAACAAAAATTGTGGATTTTAAGTCCAGAATTTAAATCAATAAGCCACAGCAAGCCTTAGGCTGTTACAGAAGAGAGGTCAGATAAAATTGGCTGCTTGTTATAAGCAATTAAAGATGATTTTTTATCAAGGCAAGATTATAAAGTGGACTCATCAACAAATTTAGTCACTTTAGATTTCATTATGGTTTTTATTGTAGATAAAAAATATTACAGGAGCATATGAAGAACCTTGTGGTTCTCTTAAAGTTACTTGAAATAAAGAAGAGGGTAGGCCTTCAAGAATAACTTTACTACTGCAGTTAGAAATAAACAATTTAATAACCTCAAAAGCTTTACATAGAAAATTATAAGAAACTGATAACAGAGTGAAAAGTAATTGTAGGATACTTGGAGAGGTCAAGATGTTTTCGAGAGTTTTGAAAAATTGGAGCTATTTATTTAGCACTTTTTAAAAGTTTAGCAAAAATTGTTGAGCGTTCTGAAGAACACTTTTTTAAGACTATGATGGAAATCTGTCTGAGGCACAAATGGTAGAAGTGTTTAATTGAGAGTTAATTTTAGTATTGGAAGCCAGAGTAATTTTGATGCTTAACAATGGATTATTCTGTTTAACTGTCAGGAAGAGTATGTCTATTATATTTGAGAGAAAATAATAGTAAGATTTCTTTGTAAATAGCTCTGCTTTATTCTGGGGTAAAATAAAAAGATCAGACCCATGATTTAGAGAATAAACGTTAGACTTACTTGAGTTAATAACACTGTTGAAAACTAAACAAAAGTCTCCAGAACCTAACATTTAAGAAAAGATACAAGGCTTAGTAAATTGAGAATAACAGAGATTTAAATCAGACAAGACTTTATTTATACATTTGCTTATTGTAATAATAAAAAGGACAATTTGTTCTTAAGAGAGATGCTCTTATAAAAAAGATGAGAAAAGTGATTAATGTTGAAAAATGTAGAGTAGAATGTGGCTTGACTTAAAACTGAGAAGAAGTAATAAAAGCTTCCAAACTTTTATTCCAAAAGCAATATAAGTCTCCAAGATGCACTTTTTGCACACACATTATGGATATAATCATATCTGTTTGCTATTTGTTTAGATGCTGGCATACAATATCCTTTCATTGCTATATAAACTTAAGTATTTATATGGTGCAGTATTTGCCAAAATAGAAGATGATTAGATGGATGTATGGTGTGACTCTAACAACACATAAAAAGGAGGCATTATCTTAGACAGATTTTTTTTTAGAAAAGGTTAAAATAATTTAGATATTAACATGTAGAGTGGTAGCAACTTCAGTATAAAATGATTGTGGTAGAAGTAAACAAATTTGAAGAGTTTACCTTACATATTGTATAAATGAGCTTTAGTTAGGAATAAAAGTGTACTAGATTGTTTATATTAGGGAAACAGCTTAAGCAGCAAAAGAGTAAGGCTAAAGCCTAATGGTGATGATGATGAAAAAAGATGATGATGATTATGATGATCATCGTCATCATAATTTTCCTTATCATTGTCAAGATTTTTGCTTTTATGCTGTTGATGATGATGCTGATGATGATAATAATGATTATGATGATCATGTATATGTATACGCATATATATACAAAATATAAAAAGTATCTTAAATTTAAAAAATTTAAAACTTTAGGTTTATGCAGCACTTAATGTTTATGCAGCACAAACCCGGCCTCAACTATTTTTTCTCAAACCTGGCTTCAGTCAAATATCAACCTCAGTCGTTTACTACAAAACATTTCAAGAATAAAAGACATCATATTAATTTTAGAAATAATTACTTATTTTATGCTATTACGAAGATCTCTCTCTCTCTTTCTCTCTCTCTCTCTCCTCTCTCTCTCTCTCTATATATATATATATATATATATATATATATATATACATATATATATATATATATATATATATATATATATATATATATATATATATATATACATATATATATATATATATATATATATATATATATATATATATATATATATAATATATATATATATATATATATATATATATATATATATATATATATGTATATATATATCTATATATATATATATATATATACATATATATATATATATATATATATATATATATATATATATAATATATATATATATATATATATATATATATATATATATATATATATATATATATATATATATATATATATATATATATATATATATAGGCCCGCCCAGAGCTTTTGTGATGCCCGGGGCAAAAGTTTAATGGATGCCCTATCATACTTCAGGTCTTAAAATAGCAAATAAATTAATATAGTTTACTTTCATAAAAAACCTAAAATCACATTTAATTTTGGTTTGCAAAAACAAACTATGATAAAATCAATTTTTAATTGACAAACACATCTTTCGGGCCTTCTTAGCAGCAAAATTTGAAATAACTTCTTCATAATTAACTTTAATGGCTAAATCTGATTCGATTGAAAGGATCATCAAGTAGCACAATCGCTCCTGGCCCATTGTGGAACGAAGATAATCTTTGATGATAGCTAACTTGCTGAAAGATCTTTCTCCTTCAGATGTTAAAACGGGCAATGTTAGAAAGATTCTAAGAGAAACACACACTTGCGGAAATATTGAATGCAGCCCCTTTGCATAAACTTCATTTAGAAGTTCGACAGGCTTTTCGCTGGCTAGAATATTTCTTCTTACGGAAAAAAAATGCCGAACTTTATCAGAAAATCGTTTTTACATAAGTCTTCTGCATAAAGTTTAGCCAGATTCTCAGCTTTTAAACCTAGTTCTTGGTCTGTTTGAGATTTCTGTAAAGACCAAAGGAAGGAAAACTTGCTACATTCCTCTTCTATTACTTTAAATCTTGATCTCATTTGACTAGTCAGATTGTCGAGTGCAACATTGAAGACATTACACTCAAAGTTTTTTGATACTTCTTCGTAGTTGTAACCAGCAGTTTCATCTGGCATGATCTTTTTTCGCGTTCTCTTCACAGTAAACATTATTTTATCAAATTTCAAGTTCTTTGCAACTTCTGTTGCCTCTATCAAAATCAGGTCCCAAGACAGACGGATTCGATCCAGATCCATCAAAAGGCCATTTAGAATCTTTACTTCATCATCGAGAGTGAGTTGAGTGGATTGAAGCAGAAGACTCACGTTGTTAACTGCCATCAAACATTTAAACCAAAAAGTAGTGAAAACAACAAATTCAAAAGAATTCATCCATTTAATGAGATAATGCACTTCATTACTACTTTCGCCTGGAAGGTCTAACTCTTTTAGATGATGTAATAATTTCAAGATCTCTCTTGGCTTTTTTGCTAGTGGCTTAACTGATTCAATCCTTGAACTCCATCGTGTAACAGAAAGTTTATATAATGATTGGCCTGTCTCCTCCTGAAGAATTTTCTAACGAACTGGGCTGCTGCTGAACAGATTGTATAGCTTTTAAATATTTCCAAAATAGGATTTTGCAGGAGCCAATGATTCAATAGCGTGTACTGCACATAAGTTCAAACTGTGAGCAGAGCAAGGAATGAAAATTGCTTGTGGATTATTCTGTCTTATCAAAGCTTGAACTCCATTGTAAATACCTGCCATATTAGCGCCGTTGTCGTAGCCTTGACCACGACAATTTTTTATGTCGAGCTCATTCTCTTCCAACACATTCAATATCAACTTTGTTATATCAGATCCTTTCTTCTTTTCAAGTTCTTCTAGCTTAAGGAACCTTTCTTTGATCTCCCACAGGTGATTATCATTGAAATGCAAAAAACGAAAAACAAAAGTTATTTGCTCGCTGTGGGGAGTGTTGTCCGTGATGATGGTGAAATATATTGATTTTTTGATTTCTCGAATAACTTCTCGAACCACTAATTTGCCGCATTCCTTGATAAATTCATTTTGTGATTTCCAGGATAAATAATGAGCTTGCATGCGTTTTTCTTCATCTTGGTGCTTAGCAATAAGATGCATATGATCTTTTAATGTTTTGTTGTGGCGAGCAATTAATTCGAGCGCTCCAAGGAAGTTTCCATTCCCATTTTTGAACAACTTTTGATTGGATCCTAATTACAAACAAAAAATAATCAAAATAGTAATCCATATTTATATCCAAATAAAACTTGTAATTTTGATTTTTAAATTACAAATAAAATAATGCAAAATATAATTTAAAATTTAAAAACAATATTCTTACCCCTAAAAGCTAAGTTTCTTGAAGCTAGAAAAATTGTGACGTCAAGAATGCATTGTAAAATTACTTTCCATCGCTTTGCTTCATCTCCAATTTGTTTTTCTAACTGATGCTCAATAGACTTTTGACTTTTCAAGTGAATCGTAGCTGTTTTCCATTGGAGATAACAGTTACGGTGAAAATCGCTTTGTTGATGACTTTTAACGCGATCTGAAAGTTTTCTCCAATTTCCATGTATACCTCCATTCCAAGACAACAAACTGGATTGAACACCGGGTCTGGTTAAGTTAGGCGATCCAAAAAGGGAGCAAGGGAAACAAAAGAGTGATGCCACAGCCTTACTCCAAACGAGCCAATCTCTTCTAACTTTTTCTCCGTTTCTTTGTTCCTCTAAAAAGATATAAGTAGGGAATTTGCGTTCTTTTTGATCTCTTGGAAAATTGCTTGGATTTGAAGAAGGTCCCATCAGAATTATATTCGTTCGATCAGTGTCTGATATTGATTTCCATTGTGCAGGATCGTTAGAGATTGGTATAGAAAGATCACTTTTATAAATTTGTTGGTCATTGTGACAATCAAGTACAAAATCCAACTGATCCTTTTTTAAATGTGATGATGTTTTTTGGGAGTCATCGATGTCATCGGCAAGAAAAAGTTTGTCGGAATTATGGTCTGGCAACTCATTAGAGTCATTGATACCGATCTCAATATCATTGAACTATAAAGAAGTATTAAACAGAACTATTCTAATTATTTTTTCATGAACGTCACAAGATTTAAAAATAGTTTAACTACCTGTTTGCATTTATCTTCGATTTTTGTCCAACGAACGCAATCTAAAAGCGTTCGTTTGTTTTTGCTTTCGTTTTTTTTCCGAATCATTGCTCTTTTTCTCCCAGCAGCTCCAGACAGCTGGTTCAATCGTGGAGGTCTTTGATTATTCATGATAAAACTTATGACGATATAAAGAATTTTAACTTTTTAAATTTTAAAAATTAAAAACTTTATAATACTTTGGTGTTATTAACTGCAGAGAAAAAGTCAGTACTTACAATTAAAATATCCACTGAAGATAAGTTTCTTGTCAAAATATAGTCGGAACAAAATGCAGGCGAGTCAAAAACATACGTATGCACAAAAGTATCCACAGGGACGGTTTAAGCAAAAATAAGTTAAACTATTAGAAGTTAGGCTTTTACAAACGTTAAATAAGAAAACTTTTTTTTAACACTTTATATTCTATCATGCGAACAAAAGGCCAATGAAAACGCGTGCGCTCAAATGGATATGAAAACCTTGTAAAGTAATAATTATCCTATTTTAAATGCAAACAAAGTTTAAAAGGAGAAAGAAATTAATACACAAAAATTGCTTAATCTTTAAATACGTTATCAGCTAAATTTTTTATCATTTCAATAATTTTTTTTAAGGCATGTGATGCCGCATAGACTGTGATGCCCGGGGCAAACTACTTCAATTGCCCCCCCCCTCTTGGCGGCCCTGTATATATATATATATGCATATATATATATATATATATATATATATATATATATATATATATATATATATATATATATATATATATATATATATATATATATATATATATATATATATATATATATATATGTATATATATATATGTATATATATATATATATATATATATATATATATATATATATATATATATATATATATATATATTGTATATATATATTGTATATATATATTGTATATATATATATATATATATATATATATATATATATATATATATATATATATATATATATATATACATATATATATATATATATATATATATATATATATATATATATATATATATGTATATATATATGTATATATATATATATATATATATATATATATATATATATATTGTATATATATATTGTATATATATATTGTATATATATATATATATATATATATATATATACATATATATATATATATATATATATATATATATATATATATATATATATATATATATATATATATATATATATATATATATATATATATATATGTATATATATATATATGTATATATATGTATATATATATATATATATATATATATATATATATATATATATATATATATATATATATATAAATTATTTATATGTATATTTATTTTTACTTTTTAAATTTAATAAGGGTCATTCTAATTCGAGAACGTTGTTTTAAACATTTGCTTTCAGACTGCTAATGATACAAGTTTTATTTTTTGATTTAGATTCTGTATCTCAATGATATCCTGACCTATCGATACGAAATCCTGTAAATCTGCTCACACACATAAATCTTTAAAAAAATGTTTATATCTATATCTATATATCTATAAATTGTATGTCTTATAAAAATAAATTGTATATTTTTAAATTTTTCATTGCGTATTACTGTTTGTATTAAAAATTGATTTTAGAAATATTACAAGTACAGAGCTCAACATACAATTTAGTTTTATTTGACAATTCAATATCAATATTCAATCATAACCAAGTTTAATTACATTTAATAACATTTTGCAATATTTTCTCCAGCGCATTTAAGCATTGATTCAACGTTATATTTCAACCTTTACTTGATGTCTTTGAGTCACGTTAAATCGACGTTTTACTGCCAACGTTAAAAATCCTTGCAAAATCGACTGCTTTAACAACGTTACAGTAACGCTTTTCAAGTACCTTTTTTCAACGTTTAGTTGCGACAATTTTGTAACGTCTTTTAGTAACGTTTTTTCAACGTTACGCTACAACGTTTAATCAACGTCTCTTAAACAACGTTACATATCTTTGCAAAATCAATTACTTTGTCAACGTTTCTGCAACATCATTTGCGACCGGTTTTTAACATTGATTCAACGCTGACATGTTTACTGGGTTGAAAACAACAGAAGGACCCGAAGGCCACTAACACTGAGTATACATTAATAAAATTTTTTTACTGAAATGTTAAATTGTATCAAGTGCTGGACAAGTTAGCACAAAATCGTATTAACTTGAACAAAGCAGTACAGCAAGAGGTTTCTTAAACATCAAGACAGACATTTATAAAGCACTTATTACTTTTAAAGTTCATTCTTTGTTCAAACAACATTATTAATTCCAATCATTTATTAAAGTAGAAGAGCATCTAGAAAAAATAAAGCGGATATTCAAATTTTATTAAAAATTTCAGGAACTTTCACATCTCACTTAAACAACGTTATGAAAAAGTACTTCATAAAAAGTATAGCATTATGAAAAACGTTATGTAAAAACGTGCGTTAATTTTAAAATCAACCAATAAAAAACTTTTATTGGTTAATTTTAAAATTAACGAGTGTTTTTATGGTCCATTAGTTACGTTTTTCATAATGCTAAACTTTTAATACGGTACGTTTTCATAAAGTTGTTTGTCACGTTTTTATAAGTTACTTTAATTTTAATATTATTTGAACATCCACTTTATTCTAGATATTTTTCTACTTCAATTAAAATTTGGGAATACTAACGTTGCTTGAACAATGAATGAATTTTAAAAATTATAAGTGCGTTATAAAAGTAATAACACTATTATAGTGTTATTACTTTTGAAATGTAGTTAGTGACTTGAGTGTTATTACTTTTGTAATCGTTAATTTGTTATTTTATTTTTTATTTTTTCGCTAACAAATTTAAGTTGATTCTCCCCTTAAAAACAAGGAACACGGTTTTGTATAAACTAAAATTTTGAATACTTGATATTTTTCAGATTTTGCGTTTTGCATTCGCTTAATTCAACCCTTGTTGTTACATTAAAATTATACAAATAAATTTTACAAACACATTGCAATTTGTATTTTTGCTATCCTCAAAAAAAAAATTAAGAAAAGGAAAATCATTCTTATTATTGTTGACTTCAAACTGTTTTTTTTTGTGCTTCGCCTTATCTAATTTTGTTGCTGAATGTAACTCTAGAGAAACAAAAATAAAAACAGTACACAAATTATTTAAATTATTAATTTGTTTTTATTATTTTCTATTTCAATCTCTTTTTTTTTTGTTAGTTTTGTTTTTTTGTTTTTGAAACTTTTTCAGCATTATTATAAAACTTGCAAATGGCCGTGTTCACGTTTTCTAAAATATTATAATTGCGTGTGGTCATACAAGACAAAAAACCGCACGCCTTTCCTGGGAAAGCTTGATATATATATATATATATATATATATATATATATATATATATATATATATATATATATATATATATATATATATATATATATATATATATATATATTAATACTATAATATATATAATCATGTTGTTTCCAGTATGAAAATTTTAAGGTAAATGTACAAAAAGATGTTAATGATTCAACATATGGTTCTCTCACTCGCGATATTTGGACTTCAATTTCTCAAGAAGCCTATTTAAGTGCTACTTTTCATTATGTTGATAAAAATTATCATCTTTGTAGTCGAGTGCTGGGTTTATATCACTTGATTGAATCACATACGTCATTATATATCACCTTAAAAATAAAAGAAATATTAAAGGAATGGAATATTGAAAATAAGGTATAAAAATATATAAAACCAATATCTACAATAAATGCAGTGTAGGTTTGTAAAGCTTTTTAACCACATCATGAGAAAAGTATGGATTATATAAAGTTTTATTTTAAATTTAGGCCCTATACGCTGTAGCAGACTCTGGATCCAACATGAAAAAAGCTTTAACAGATTTGGATCCTTTATTAAAATATTATCCATGCATTGGTCATAAAATAAATTTATGTGCTGTTATTTTTTAAAGAAGTTTAATATCAAACGATATACCAATTGTAAAGGTATGTATTTTTTTGATTATTTTCATTATTACATTTTACATTACACTATTATTAAAAACAAATATTACCCTGTGTTAAGTCTGACGGTGGGCCGAGCTCGGGCCAAGCTTGTTACATCAGTTGAACATCGGCTACTCTGTTTTTAGCAAAACAATATCGGTTGAAGGTCGGTTTTGTGTCTGTTGGCCGATGAATAGGCAAACAGAAATTCAGCCGACGTTCAGCCGATGTACAGCTGACGGCTGTACATCGGCTATATATCAGTCAATTTGGTTCTGTTTTTTATTTTAATGATGCATTATATAAAAAAACCGAATAATAAACTTTTCTATTAAATTTTAAAAATGGCAGCATATCTATCTATCTGAAAGGATGAGCAAAAGATACTATGACTCAAAATGAGGTTTTGATTTTTTAAGAAACGAAGACCAGATATATTACTGAATTGGGGAGAAATGTAGTAGAGTGCTTCTACATTGACTAATTTAGGGATAACATGCAAGAGAATGCTGCTACATCGACTGAGGATTTGGGTTAAGACAGGTATAGATCAATCGATGTAGCAGCACTCTCCTACATTTCTCCTCAAATCAGTAATATATCTGGTCTTCGTTTTTAAAAAAAATCAAAACCTCATTTTGAGTCATAGTATCTTTCGCTTACCATCTGAAAGGCAAAGAACTAGTTCTGAATTATCAAAATTTTTAGAAACGAATTAACTTTCCTAATGCAAAGGAAAGTCAATTCGTTTACCTGTTAAATTAATATTATTTAATAATATTAATTGGTATTTATTAATAATAATTTTATTTTTTATTTACAAATAGTTATTTGAATTTTATTTGAATAGTTATAAAAATTTATAAATCATTAAAGTTTAAGATATAAAAAATATCAGATAATAATATCAATATACTAGGTAGTTTGTTTTGATAACAGTTAAAAAATATTTAAACTGTGAGCATACAGTTTGTGATTTATGTTTGATTAAAAATTTATTCATTTTTAAGTTAATCATTGAATGATAATATTTAGTTCATTAACTCAAAACTTGTCAAATAAGTAAACAATAATAACACTTTAACGATTGATTTTTTTTAATAACCTCGTTAAATTTTAAAGATTGAACATAAATTGTGAACATCATTCAGATAGTAATGTTAAATTGTGAACATCGTTCAGATAGTAATGTTAAATTGTGAACATCGTTCAGTTAGTAATGTTAAATTGTGAACATCGTTCAGATAGTAATGTTAAATTGTAAACATCGTTCAGATAGTAATGTTAAATTGTGAACATCATTCAGATAGTAATGTTAAATTGTGAACATCGTTCAGATAGTAATGTTAAATTGTGAACATCGTTCAGATAGTAATGTTAAATTGTGAACATCGTTCAGATAGTAATGTTAAATTGTAAACATCGTTCAGATAGTAATGTTAAACTGTGAACATCGTTCAGATAGTAATGTTAAATTGTGAACATCGTTCAGATAGTAATGTTAAATTGTAAACATCGTTCAGATAGTAATGTTAAATTGTGAACATCGTTCAGATAGTAATGTTAAATTGTGAACATCGTTCAGATAGTAATGTTAAATTGTGAATATCATTCAGATAGTAATGTTAAAGATAGAAAAGTTGAATTCAATACAAGGTAAAGTAGAAATATTTTTATATACTTGTAACATAAGTTTTAAGCAAAATAAGTTTAACTATTTTTTTATCATGTCATTTCTAATTTTTGCTTTGTTTATTTATATCGTATATTTTATATATACAATAATGATTTTTATTATGATCACAATGTTAATATTATTGTTATTTTTTAATATATTTGCTAATTTATTTACTTAAAGTTACAATAAATAAATATAATAAAACAAACAAGCTGTGATACACATTACAGTGTGTAGAGTCTAACAACAGTAGATGTCAGACTGTAACAGCTTTTCACAGTTTTTTATGCAATTGTCATAAAAGGTTTTGAATGTATTTAAGTTTTTTGCATCCACAACTTCTTGTGGTAAACGATTCATTTTGTCCACTATTTTATTTAAAAAAAAAAATATGTTGACCGCTTGCTTTTTTGCTTTGTTATGTACATATTCTTTTATTGTGCCCTCTTGTAATTGAATTTTCTATAAATATAGGAGGATTGTACCAATTAATTACATCTAATTTATTCATAAACCTGTATAGTTGCACTATATCAGCTCTCGACCTTCTATTTTTTAATGTTGAAAGATTAATTTTATTTAATCTATTTTCGTGTAGTAAACCTTTTAAACTGTGGATACGAGTTGCTCTTTGTCGGACTTGTTCAATCATATTGATATCTTTTTGTAAATGTGGGTTCCATAATGGTGATCCATATTCAAGATGAGGTCTGACTAATGAAGTAAATAGTAATCTTTTATCTAAATATTTAAAAGAGTGTTTTATTCAGGGTTCCGGGAAGTGGGCCCGGGCCAAAAAAACCAGCGGTTTTTTTCGGACGGTTCCACCCGAAAAAAACCAATAGATTTTTTCACAAGTGGTCTTTTTCAAATTTTGTCGAATTTGTTTTAAAATACCATATAAATTGGAAAATAATTACGCAATTGATTTAATTAAATTTAATGCACTACTAAACTACTGAACAACTGATAAACAACACTTATAACAGTCAATCATCATTTGCTTCTCTCAAGTGGCGATACACTTTGGCAAGCTTTGCCACTTTCTTTGTGCCCAAACGATACCTTGTCTTGGACCAAATGTAGCCAAAGTTTGAAAAAATCCTTTCGAGAGGATTTTCAAATGGTACAAAATCAGGGTGTCCAATATTTAACCACTCTTCTCCCTCATTCTGCTGTTCCATTGTGGGTCTTCTATTTCCTAAAGAGCAAAAATAGTAGTTCTATGAGTTTCAGGTTCATATTATAATTATTATTCATTATCAGGCAGACCTCACCTACACAAACTACACAGTACACACCGGCTACATCATGTGATGTTAAAAAGTAAAAACTAAAGTCACATAAAAAATAAGTTAATAACAAGACTAGCCTTAAATTTTCTAAAAAATATATTTACTACAAATATTTCAGAACAAATACCTTATATGTTTTGTAAAGCTATCTTTGTTATTTTTCATTGGCCTACCTTTTTTCCTTGGATCTAGCATGTAGGCTAAATAATGAAATGGCTGCATAGTTTCTAAGAAGCGTTTTCTAAAAAACTGACCATAGTTCTCCGAATCAGGGTTTTCAATTATATCCAGCCATATATCCATGCAATCAGACAACTTTGTTGTATCTGCCTACAGCTAAATGAAAATGTAGCATGTGTCAATCACAAATTACAATTAGAGCATAAAGAAAACTATTTTATTAAGTTAGCAATTTAGTATTTAAAGGAATATTTTGTCTTGGTACCTTATTTAAAGCTGCTGCAACAGCATCCAGTTGTTTTAAGTTGCGTCGCCTCCCTGAATATGCCGACGTGATCCAATATTTTCTTGATGCTGTCATTAAAATGTTCTGTATGTTCTGTTTGAATTTCGAGATGGAGGTGATAATTTGAAGTAAATGTTCTCACAAACTCGGCTTGTGAATTCCAACGAGTTTCATTGGGTAACTGTGGCATGAGGCCCTTTTTCGCTTTCAGCCATCCCTATGAGCCATGAGGTAGAAAAAAAGTAAATTACCATTCAATCATAGAAACTATAGTTGTTACTTATACTAAAACTAAACAATTACAATGTATAAATTGCTTCATATCTAAAGACCTAATTTATTAATTTAGCAAGGTCAACAATTATAGCTTGCAACCAAGGCTTATTTTTTAACAGAATGACAAGACAAAGTTCCATGTTTGTTTGTTCTTACATGAGGTTGGTGTACATTCCTAAAGTACTTCTGCACTTCTACAATATGCTTCAAAACTGTCTGAGGTGTGACATCTTTCTCAAAAGTTCATTAAATGAGCTGCGCAACCAAACATCAATATGTTGGGGTATGATTGTTGAACAATTTCCTTCATTTTTTTTTCATTTTATTCTCATTGTCTGTGCAAAGAGCAAACACCTGAAAGTTTAAAGTATGGTACAGGATCGTGATCAGTGATACTTCATAGCATTATGTTACTTAAAAACTATAAAAAGTAACATATTTTTACATATATAACTTACGAGAAGCAAAGTTTTATGAATTTATGCATACCAAAAATGTTAACTTCTTTGCTACAATGGTATTGTTTTGAAAAACAAAAGAACTTAGCTTACCTCTTTTCCGTATTTCTCCTCACACATTTTGATGGACTGAATTGCTTTCTCAGCACAGAATTCAGCCGTCATTTTTCATGGCCGCAATCTACCGCTTCCAATAAAAAAGCCTTGGAACCCGTGTGTATGGACGAAGCAAGGATTGGGTCATTTCGGACGCTTGACCAACCATCCTGTAGAAGTGTAATGCAGCAGTTACTGTGCTGCAATTCAAGCTTTAACTCGGTATCTACTTCTTCACTAACTTTGTTCAGTAATGAACCACCTAATGACTCAGGATTTGGTGGCTTGTATCCAGGCCGCAGAGCTTCTACCTTTTCTTTGAACGTCTTACTGCTACTGGTGTTGAAAGGAATGTTGTTAGCATAGAAATATCTGGCCATTTTCATATCCAAAATTTCTTTTTGAGCAGCTGTAGTTTTTATTGAAAACTCATTCATTGTGGTTTGCAAGCGTCTTTTTTTACTACCTTGTGTCAGTTGCGTAGCTTTGGAAGGTGTTGTTACTCTAGAATATGTAGTCGGACTGGGAATCGATGGTGAAGCTAAACTTGTCAATGGAACCTGAAAATCTACATTTTGTTCTTCATAATTCAATGATCTATCCATGGATGTAGAAGAATCACTTCTAAAGCCAAAGCTTAGTTAACTTTCACTTAAAGGAGGTTTATCGTCTTCTGTATCTGTGTTGCTGGTTCCAGGTATTGGAAACTTTGAGCACTTTTTCAAATGTGCCTTAATTCTTGTTATTTTTCCACTTACTTCACATTCACAGTATTTGCACTTCACTTTGCTTGAACCATCTATTTTTTTTTACATGTCTCCATTCTTCAGAAATCTTTCTTCCACTCCCTTCAGTTTTTGGCATATTGACTTTATTCTTTCTTAGGTGGTAAAAGTCTAAATAAAAAAAACAAAAAATAATGAGCCTGATTATTCAATGGTACTATGGTAGCAAATGAATACATAAATGAATAAATAAATTAATAAGTAAATATAAATTAATTACCCTTTTTATGAGATCTTCCGCTTGTATTTGTATCAAACAAGTTTTCATCAATCAGTTGATTCAACTATTTTATTTATTTTATTTTTTATTTTAATAATTCTATATATATATTTTAAATATAATAAAGTACAGAACCTTATATTGATATCTTTCTGTAAAGATACAAAAATAAAACAAATTTTATTGTTAATTAAATTAAATTAAATATTAAATTAAAAATAAATATAATTAAATTAAAAATTTACTACATTCATTCTTATCTAATCAACTTTTTTTTATTTTAGGCAAGACTCAGAGTCAGAGTCTAGTAAAAGTAAAACACCTTAGACTGAAGAAGCCAAGTCTTAGACTCTACACTCTAGGATGTTATTGAGCATAGCGAACATTGCATCATTAATCTCTTCTTTCTTCCAGGTCCCATCCTTATTTTTTTTCCCCATATGCATTACCTGTTGGTCTGTTGGATAGAAATTGGATAGAAGTAGAAATGTTTTTAAAAATTGAAAAAGTCCAAAAAAAACCACCCGGCCCGGTTTTTTTCAAGTTTGTCTCGTTTTTTTCAAACTCTGGTTTTATTAGGCCTAATTTTTGGTAATCCTTATTGACTGTATAGTTAATGTGGTAATTCCAGTTAAGGTCATTTGATACATATATGCAAAGATCTTTTTCTAAAGTTGTTTTTGTTAGTTTAGTGGCATACGTTTTATTTTTGGAATTGTTAAGCATTAGGTACTCATTTTCAGGATTATTTTTTCCGATATGCATAACCTTTCACTTGTCATAATTAAATTCTATCAACTAGTTGTTTGTCCATTGTACAATTTTATTTAGATATTCTTGTAAATTTTCTATACTGCTGTTATGATCTAGTATAGATATTAATTTTGTATCATCTGCATACAGTTTACATTCGTTTTTTATATTTAACATCGTATCATTTATATATAAAACAAATAATAACTGTCCAAGTACTGATCCTTGAGCAACACCACTTATAACAGTTGTCCATTCAGAAATATTTTCCCCAAGTACAACTCGTTGCTCCATTTAAACAGATCACCAATAATACCATAACTAGCTAATTTTATGCACAATCTTTCATGTGGCACAGTATCGCAAGCTTTAGCAAAATCTAGAAATATAATTTCAACTGGAATATTATTGTCAAATGCTTTACTGACAATATCTAATGTTTCTAGTAAATTTGTAATTTTTTTTATTCACAAAACCATGTTGGTGCACTGAGATTAAATTACTATTGTTAAGATATTTCATTATTTCATCTCTGACAATACTTTTCATAACTTTGCATACAATCAATGTTAATGAAATTGGTCTGAAGTTAGCTGATTCAAGTCTGTCACCTTACTTATGCAATGGTGTTATTTTTGCATGTAACCATAAGTTTGGTAGAGTTGCACTTTCGAATGATTGATTAAACATTAACTCTAATGGTTTACATAAACTTTGTGAGCATTCCTTCAACACTCTTGGATGTACTTTATCAACACCTGTTGTTTTATTCGTGCTTAATTTGTTTTTAATGATTTTTGTTTTAATTATTAATTTCTTCAATTTTGGATTTGGATCACCATTTATATCTCTTATGGCTCTAATAGTGTTTTTTATTTTCGTTTTACTGTTTATATAAGAATATATACATTTAGTATTTGATTTTGATTGTTTTACTAAATTATGTTTATACTCCATAATTGCTTTTTTAATAACTTTTTTTACTATCTTATTAAGATTGTTGTAATTTATAACATCATCTATATTTTTAAAACCTGCAGCTTTAATTTTGTACCATAAGTTCTTTTTTAACTTTAATTTTAGATCTTTAGTCAACCATAATGATTTTATTTTCCTAATGTTTTGGTTGTTTTGTTGAATTTGTGGGATAACCATTTTGCAACCTTTTTCATAAATTGTTAACCATCTTAAATAACTTTCATCAACACTTAAGGTTTCAAACTCTTTTTCCCAGTTATAATTATTAAAGTATTTATTTAACTCTTTATATTTACCTTTGTTGAACAGATATTTTGTTTGATAGTCTTTGTTGTTATTATTATTATTATTATTATTGCTATTATTATTATTATTATTATTATTATTATTATTATTATTATTATTATTATTATTATTATTATGAATAGCATTATTAAATATTATATATATGTATGTATATAATATGGCCCAAGCTCCAGCCTGTTTTATATAACATGTTAATTTTTATAGGGGCTGTTGAATGCAACGAAATAAACAATGCCAAAGATGCAAATGAGTTTGACGATGCACATCCTGATTCAAAATGCTAAATGCATAAGTAACTTTATTGAATTAGAAATATAATACTTTTCATATTATAAATATAAATTAGTTTTTTTCGTTCTCTGAAATTAAAAGTTCAAATTTGGTTACTGTCTGGAAGACTATACACTTTCAATCAGTATCTATACATTAGTATGTATACCTTGTCAGTAACCTATGTTGTGATTTATGCTATATTGCTATTATTGATATGTGAATATTTAATTTATACTTTTTTTTTAGATGCTGCACACAGTAAAATAAAAAACGTTGGAATTTCACCCGATTCAATTTATTTGATGATTCAACTGATTCAGAATAATTTATTTAAAAGAAATATATAGTTTTATTTTATATTTGTGTTTTAGTTTTATTTTATATTTGTGTTTTAGTTTTAACTTTAATTGCTTAATCTTATTTTCCCTTTTTTCCAATTTAAATTAGTGTGTTGAGATTTTCATCGGCTAGCCGAGCATTTGTTGCTTATTTTAATCATCAGGCCTAGCTCGGCCGCCGACATAGGTCCGCCATTGTTTTTTTCTATACGGAATTGCATCGGGCCGAGATCGGCCAACCAATGATTTGATTGAAATCGCGTCGGCTAAACATCAGCCTGCCGATGCATCGCAACAGTTTGACAAAACTGTTGCGATGCATCGCAACAGTTTTGTCAAAAAAGTTTTTGGACAAAAACGCTGTCGGGCCGATATTGGCAGCCGAGCTCAGCCTGACATCGGCTTTAACATAGGGTATAATACTACAGAGAGAAATATCATAAATATAAAAAAATTTAATGACGATGACGAATTACAGGGTTTATGCGAAATATAAAACATTTTTTAAGAAAATATAAAACATTTTTAAAGAAAATATAAAACATTTTTAAAGAAAATATATAACATTTTTTAAGAAAATATAAAACATTTTTTAAGAAAATATAAAACAAATTTTATGCTAATATAAAACATTTAATTAGTTAATTAAATGTTTAATGTTTTAACATAAAGTATTCAATTACGTAATTACTCTATACTATGGAATTTATGTGGTTTATTCACAACAAAGAAGAGATCTGTAAAAATATATTATTCAAGCTTTATTTTGTTGTTTTAATCGATAAATGGAAAACAAGAGACAAAGAAAAAAAGAACACTTATTACAAAGGATATTGTAAAAACAATAAGAAAGTCAATTCTTAAAGAAATGAAGTTAAAAGAAATTGCGGAAGAAGTTGAAATATCAGTTTCTGCAACACGTTCTATTTCTGATAAAATCTGTAAAGGACTTAGTGATGATGAAATCGCATCAGTAAAAAAAGGAAGGCGCAGCTTTTATGACGAGACACTTAAATCTGAAATTAGAATGTTAATTGAGCATGATCCATCTCATACGTTAGTATCATTGAGAAACATTCTCGTTGAAAGGAATATTAATGCATCTATACTAACAATATCTAAATATTTGAAGTCGATGGAGTTCACTAGAAAAAGACTTATATTAGTACCAAAAGAAAGGAACTCGCCGCAAAACATTGATTTAAGACAAAGTTTTTGCAGGACTATTAATTCGATTCCTGACAACAACTTAGTGTTTCTAGATGAAACAGGCTTTAGTTTACATACTTCTAAGCAGTATGGCTATTCTATAAAGAATACAAAATGTTTTATTACAGTGCCAGAAAATTGTGGAAAGAATGTAAGTCTCATGGCCGCTATAACAGTTAATGGTATTTTAAGCTTTAAGATAGTGGATGGTGCCTATAATGGCAATCTTTTTTGCGATTTTATAACCAATAATTTAAGACCGCATTTCCAAACGAATCCCCATTTTGTACTAGTATTGGATAATTGTGCATTTCACCGTAGAGGAGATGTAATCAGTTTGCTCAGCCAATCCAGTGTTTCAGTTTACTTTTTGCCACCTTATTCACCACAATTGAACCACAATTGAGAAATACTTTAGTTGTCTTAAAGCTAGTTATACTTCTATAATACCGTTTCCAAAAACTAGCAATGAAGTTAAGGCTACTTTAAATTCGCTTATACCAACAATTGGCGTTGATTTTTGTGGTTGGTATTATAATATGAGAAGATGGGTTTTGAAAAGCATAGCAAGACAAGAATTTTACTAAAGCGGATACTTTGCTTTTTATATTATATCTATAAGTATAATGAATTATAATTATATAAAAAATACTCTTTATTCTTTAGAAATTTATGAATAACTTTATGTATCATAAATGCACTATTGATTCAACTACAATGTTTTATATTTTCTTAAAGAAAGTATTTTCTTAAAGAAAATATAAAGCATTTTAGTTTATTTAAAAGTTTATTTTATTTTATGTTTCCTATATATTTTTAAAATGTTTTATAATTTTTTAAAACTTATTTTATATATTCTTAAAACATGTTTTATATTTTCTTAAAAAATATTTTATATTTTCTTAAAAAATGTTTTTATTTTCTTAAAAAATGTTTTATATTTTCTTAAAAAATGTTTTATATTTTCTTAAAAAATGTTTTATATTTTCTTAAAAAATGTTTTATATTTTCTTAAAAAATGCTTTATATTTTCTTAAAAAATGTTTTATATTTAGCATATTTGCTTTTTTTTAGAAATTAGGTTCTTAGCATGAAAGATTTAAAAAGGCAATTTAAAAACAAAGGAAGCTATTTTGTTGGAAATTTTCTGCTAATTTCAAAAATAGTTTTAGATTTTCATAATCTTTCTCCGTTAAAAAGTTATGACGGAAATAAGATTTTCTTCAGTTTTCAACTTAAACCGGACACAATAAT